CGCTTGTACATGAAGCACAAGACAGGGAATTATGGAGACAAAGCTCACACATCACCTGACCACTACATTCCTCTCGTAGGAATAAAGACAGAGATTTGCCCTTATTTAAAACTCACCCTGTATTGGCTGGTCCCCAGACTATAGTAAAATCATAAAATTATACCAAAAAGTAACAGTTAAACTATAATCATGTAATGAAATTTTTTACCCTTCTAATAATACTAGCGCCGCCACTGGTACTGAAAAACAGCTTTTTAATATTAATTTGACGGTCGTCTCGCTAGAGCGCGGTCTATCCAGTTTTCAATAATCTTAATTTGAATAGAAAGATGGAGAAAAAGCGGTAAGAATTTCGAAATACCATGGAAGTTATTAATATTCTAACATAGTTAATAAAATGAACTTAGAAAATTCGTCGGAAATTGTATTAGTTTAAGAATTTTAGATAAAGTGAAACCCAGTTATCTTCTATAATCTAAATGCAAACTTTCAAAATTAAATTTGAGAGAAATACTGAAAAATGTTAATAGGTAAAGTAGGGCGTAATTATGTGGTTGTTGGGTGCAATAACATTCAATAACTCATCTCTCCCGGATATTCAACTTAACATTTTATAGCTTTACAGCTTCTCACACTAATTTGATCAAAAGAAAAATTGGATTCAAACAGTTGGACGAAACAAGTCAGTAGACAAAGTGCCCATTTCATAATCAAAACATAAATAGGTATAGACTAAGCAAAATAAAAACACAAATGAAATTTCTTGTAAAGATTGTAATCAGAAATATGTTGGGCAAACAAGAAGATCAATATTAACTAGATTTAAAGAACATTTAGCTCAGATAAAATATGGTAGACCGGATAAATCTTGCGTTGCCGAACATACGAACATATTGTTGATAAAGAACATTGTATAGATCTTAATAATTTAAAATTAATTAAACAAGTCTCAAATTACAGGCAATTAGATGCATATGAAAGCATCAGAATTAATAAATGTAAAGATAGTATGAACAGAGACAACGGTCCAATTCCTTCAAGTTCTTTGTTCCTACTACTCTAGTGGCGGAAATCTAACTGTTACGCCCAGTGGGTTCTGACTCGGTTGGCTAGATTTTGCCACGCCCACTCGGTGCCCACTGGGCGAGTATATAAACGCTCAACTTGTAGATTGTACTTTAGTTTATAATCATCTGCTGATGATGCTAACATGGTTAGCGAAACGCGCGTCCAGTGTAAAAGTAAAAGTGTTTAGGTGTATTGTGGTGATTTAGTGTTTTTATTTTGCTGTGTAACGCCAAAGGTTCCAACCCTCAACTGTAATCTAGGTATAGACTATAAGAGGATAAAATAAAATTTGCAATATTAATGGTATACTTTTTTTAATCAACTAGTACTTAAATTATGTAGTTTAACTCATCTAAAAAGTTTTATCAGCTTGAATAATGAATTATCATACAATTATTAGACCTTCTGAAGATAATATATCAAAATATTTACTTTTTTATTGTTATTTTCAGAATTTTCACAAATTATAAGGTATTCTCCGATGGTGGCAGTACCGGCAGAAAATGCACCTAGCTAATACAGTATTCAATAAAAATTGACACTAAATACCATTACCAAATAAAAATTCTAATAAATAAAACATAATTTTAGAAAATTAAACTTTTTACTTTTTTAAAAAATGTAGCAATAGCAATATTGCGAAGTAGGTTAAATATTTTGTTAAATATTTCATTATAGATTTATTTATTTAGTTAAAAAGAATTTTAAAAAAGACAGAAATATAAATTGAAAAAAACAGAAATATAAAAAAGCAATAGATTGTTAAAGAAAATAATTATCAAATATTTTGTGTTGAGTAGTTAGATGACGTTTTTCTTCTGGCATTTTATATTTACGCCATCAAAATAGGAAGAAAAAAGTTAAGACAAAACGACCAAATCCGTAAAATGGCTGAGGCCTGTCAGCGACAGTCAACTTTAATCCATATTAGGACAAAGAGAAAAGAAGATATAAAAATTAATCGAATTGGGGGGATTAATGACAGCAAGAGAAATCATTTTTAACGTCTGAGGCTTAATTAAATCAAAGACGATTTTTGTGATAAAACTTTAGTGAATTTGTTCATTTCAATTTTTGAAGTTGGTTTTCAGTCTTTGCATTATTTGTTATAGTAGAATATCACTAGAAATTTAAAGAGATTTATACTAGATATACTATACATATACAACACGATCAGAGTATTGTTAATTCTCACACAGGAACATATTAATATAAACACTACAACTAAGAAAATTTCTCAGATAAATATATCATTTTAGTTTTTATATAGAATTACAAAAACTATTTTTTTATAATAATTCATGTAGTGATTTTACTTATTATACAGGGTGAGTCTTAAATAAGTGCAAATATTTTTAGGAGTAGTATATTTAGCTACCAGAAGGTAGCTAGGTTTTTTTTTCCAAAAAAAAAAATTTAAAATTTGGAAAAAATTTTGGATTTATTTTAGTTCTAAAGCTTCATTCAGAACCTCGGAATTAGTGGAATAGATTAATGGTTTTTATTAGCGTAGAAGTTTGTTTCTTTAATTTCAATGTAAGCATTTAGAACGTCAAAATTAGTGATAGACATTTTCAATTAGCAGAAAAAATTATCAAACTTTTAACTTTTCCACTAATTATAGTTCCAAATTTTTTAAGAAATGTAAATTTGACCTTTGATTATCTTTCGTCAAGAGAAATTGGGGTTGGAAATCAAAAGTTTTTTGTTTTATAAGATAAAAATATTAGGCTTTCTCTATGGATAGAACTGACTAACGCAAACTGTTGCTAGGATATTCTATTAATTTTAATTGTGTTTTTTAAACGTTGTGAATGATCATAAACTAAAAAGTATAAAGTGTAATTGAAACTACTTATTTTTTTCCACTAATTGCGACGTTCTGAACGAAGCTTTAGTTAAAAAATATAATTTCTTGGTAATATATGGCAAAAATTTACAAGAAAGAAAACCCAGAAAATATCCAGTGGTTCTTAAAATTGAAGCAAAAAATCATTGTTTTGGATATTACGAAGTGAAATAGACTTATTCCAAAAACGGTAGAGAGAAAATATGTTTCTTTTATCGAAATCTACAAGCCCCGAAAATATTTGCACTTATTTAATACTTACGTATATCAATGTGGCAATAAAAAGATATTTTGAAAAAAAGATCGAATTATGTTTAGTGAAAATTAAGAATTTATTACAGTTGGTGGTTTGAAACTTTGGTGTTACAACAGCAAAGATTAGGTTATTAGGAGCAAATATTTGGTTTCTCAAATCATGCAAAGTCAGTCTAGTTTATACTAGTTTAATTAAAGTCGATATTCCAAAAACTAATGTTAGGAAAAGGTAGAGAAAATTGCAAAACAAAAATGTCTTGAATTCGAAATCAAGTTTATGTATAGTAAACGAAGTATGCTTGAAATGGAAGTCTAAGGACATACTTATAAACTACTATACTATACTAAAAAACTTACTTATAAACTTACTAAAGTAGAGTATGAATGTTGGTGTCTTTTTCAGAGAGATATGTTTGTGGTTATCAATTAAAAATTTAATTCAATTTTGAACATTATATTTGTTATTTTAATTTTTAATTATTTAATAACTTTTCCATAAATTTGTCCTCATAAAATTATAAACTTGTAGCTTATTTATTACACTTAATAAGTTGAATTATATTCTAACGAAACGACTATGTAAATGAATACGATAAAACATGCATATTTTCCTTAAGCCTTCAGCAAGTTAAGTTTCATTAAATTAAATTTACATTTAGTAAAACTTTAATCTAACCAGCTTATAGCGAAATTGGTTTTAGTAGGTTTTATTTCATTTTAGTTGAAAATTTAACTCTTATAAATATTCTATGAACATCTATTAGGAAACCTGTAATTGTTTATTGTTTCGCGGTTTAAAAGAATCTAAAATTACGTATTTTCTAAAATAGCTTGTTATCGACACACTCAGGCGATGAGGTGTTCTGGTGTTTCCGAATGCTCTGCACAGAATCTGGATTCGCTCTTTTTTTTGAAGGGGTGTCCAGACCAATTACCGAAAAGCAATTTCACCTAGAGAAAGGCTAGCTATAACCTTACGGGTCTTGGCGATTTTTGTACTCCTCTATTAGTTCTAGAACAACTTTATTCGGCCTATCCATTTTTGATATTCGATCGCAAACGTGGTAAACAAAATCCCTTCCAAACCGGACGTGCAATAGCGCGAATTTCCTTTGATGTACCGACAGGGCGTGGAACAGCCTCGAGCGCGAGCAAGCAATTTTTCTTTCGCTCGCAGAGCCGTCCATACCAGTTAAGCGTTCCCATAGAACATACCCGAATTCTTGCTCGCTCCTGCTCGCTCATCCGGTTTGGACGCCCCTTTAGCTTCACTTTACTGTGGTGTCCTGTTAGAAACCTCGTGACAATTCGAACATTGCTTTTACTTAAGCCAAGAGAAATCTATGGGTTTTCTCGGTCTTAAGTCCTGAAAAATTACTTCTAATGTGTTAGACGGTTGTATTCCCATTCTAGGTTCTTGAAATTCTGCTTTCGGTTGGTTACCACTTGGAAAGCAGAACGATCTTGGTCCAGTTAGTGGAATATTTGCTCTTTTTTCTAGCTAGTCGGTTTTTTTTATTACCTTCTCTCACTTGGTGGGCCAACCTAGAGTAGGAGGAATCTAGTTTCTTTACCTAATTTGTAAAGCTCCTATAGGCCTTCTTTTACCAACTTCAAATTGATGAATACTGGGTTGATCGCTTTTAATGCTGCTTGACGTTTATTTTTCGTTTAAGAATAAAGTAGAAAATTGTTAAATTTTTAATACATTTGTTACCAATGCGTAAACTGAACGAGTTATATTTTTATTAGAAGTTTTACAGTTAAAATTGTGAAAGTAACAAAAGCAAAGGGTATATGAATATGTAATGTAAAAGTATGAAAATACCTAGAATTCCTAATCTAAAGTTTAGTGTGATGACGATGACTTTGCCGTAAGCCGCCAGCACGCTGCCGTCATACGGATTTCCTGAATTCCACTCGAAGGATTCGCCATGCAAGTATACGATTACTGGATAAGTTCGGGAATGTGTGCTTGATTCTGGAACAAACAATATTAAAGTTACACAAATAAAACAAACAAAATTATTCAGGGTGGTCCGAACTGTATTCCGGAAACTTCAGCAACATATTCTGCAGATAAAAATAAGTAAAAAAATTCGTATAAATGTATGTCCGAAAATGCTTAGTTTTGGAGACACAGGGTGTAGAAGTTTCATTTTTATTTCGATTTTTTTCAAATACTTTATGAAGTAACGTCAATATTTGGATGAAAATTGGTGTCTGGAAGTTTTTTGACATGATAAATTTGATTTTGATGTCATTATGACATTTATTTGTAGGGGGCGCCACTTACATATGTTTCAACTATTCTGAAGAGTAATAACTTTTCGTCCGTGCCTGTATAAAACTACTGAGTGAAAAAATATACATTTCTGTGACTTTCTACGTAAAAAATGTATCTTGGTAAAAATCGCTACGAGAAACCGTTTTAAAGATATTTAAAATGGAAAGAGTCTATATTATTGACTAAAAATAAACATGTTGAGTAGATAGTTATTTGACTGAAATAATAAATTTGGGAACTTTTTATTTTTCTTCGAAAAAATGATGATAAAACAGTCTGTGTTGAACTTTTGGCACAAAACCATTTCAAATTTATGATACCAGTCTAATAACTATTTAGTCAACAGGTTTAATTTGTGTCAGTGATGACAGGTATTGATAATTTTGATTCTAAATATCTGGAGAACCATTACTCGTAGCGATTTTTACTAAGAGACTTTTTTTAAGTAAAAAACGTGGTAAATTTAGATTTTTTTAGGTAGTTTTATACAGGTACGGATGAAAAGTTATTACATTTCAACCCAGTTAAAAATTATGTAGGTAGCGCCCTCTACAAGTAGGAGTCATATTGACATAAAAATCAAATTTATCATGTAAAAAAACTCCCAGACACCAATTTTCATCCAAATATTGATGTTACTTCAGGAATTATTTGGAAAAAATCGTAATAAAAATGAAACTTCTACACCCTGTATCTCCAAAGCTAAGCATATTAGGACATACATTTATACGAACTTTTTTACTTATTTTTATCTGCAGAATATGCTGCCGAAGTTTCCGGAATACAGTTCGGACCACCCTGTATAGAGGGTGTCCCAGGCTGGGCGAGCATTAGAAGTTATTTAAGATTTAGTTTTAGAGCGTAAATTTTTCTTGATTTTATCTAGCTTCTTTTGACATTAAGTGTCAAACTCGGTGTCAAATCATTAGACAGTTTATTTCCTTCTACCAAAAAACTAATTATTTGAATTTATAAAAAAAATAAAGTGTATTTATAAAAATATATCTCATATTTTAGTGATATCTAATGGAAATATGACATGGCCAAATATAGTTTTATATCGCTTGACGTTTAATGCCATAGGCTACTGGTTAAAAACCAGAGTAACATATGCTTTAAAACTAAATCTTAAATAACTTAAAAACGATTTATTTTACGTATAGGAAAATGTATAATCAAAAAGTAATGAATTAAAAAACCTTTTCACTAGTGAAATAAAAAAAGTGGGTTTCAAATTGAAAAAAAAAATGATTTATCATAATTGTTAAATCTCTCGATTCCATGGCAGCTACGGCCAATATTATATGACATTCAAGCAATATAATTTTTGAAATAGATAGCCGCATGTCTTCTCTTTATGTCATAGTGGCTGTAGTTATCACTAAATTTGACGTTTAGGCCATACAAATTTTTTTGACATGCAGTTTTTTTTTACAAAAATATTATATATTTTTTCTTCTCAAAAGTGATAGGGTGTTTGAAATATAAATCCATAAAATTTTATAGACTATTTAAATATATAATAAAAAATTGGGCTACCCATTTAAAATAAGAAAGTTGCTGTCAACTTCCGGTATTTAAGGAAGTGCCGCCATATTGAAAATACTTTTAATCGATAGTTCTCATTGTGAAACAATAATCCCCGATCTATATGGGAGACACCCTGTATATCAAAAACTTCCGTTTCAAATGTGTCTTGCAAATTTCAAAATGCAAACGATTTATAAAATAATACTTTTGTGATGTTTCAAAAAAAAGAGTATTTTGAACATTTTTAAAAACTCTATTATAAATCACAAATAATGTGACAATTATTATTATACAATACACCAAAAAAGATAATAAATAATTTAAATAGCCCCAATTACTTACAAACCTGAATTTTTATCTCCAGTAATACCTAGAGCAAATTTTACTCTAAATTTTGTCATCCCATTAGTAAACTAGGATTTTCCTCTACCAGAAAAACCCCGAATTAACCTCAAGAGCTTAAATTTAACCGAGATATACATTTCTCAAACACTTTTTTTTCTCTCTCCGGACTTCAACTAATGAATTTCATTTTAGCCAGACAGGGCGCAATGGAAATTTCTCATGCACCTTTGTCTCCACTCTATCTCTGTCTTTCTTCTTTCTTAATTTTAAAACGCCGGAATTTTCATAATTAATTATAAAAAGCCCTATCTTGACAGGCGTAGATATTGCGAATGGGCGTCTGTATTTTATTTTTTTCTTTTTCACCGCTCTTCTGGGGCTCAACGTTGACGTTTTATTTAATTTCGTCGTTTAGCTACGAGCGATTTAATTCAAACTCTTACGTAATTGTGTTTACCTCTTGCTTATTGTCATATTTAGCGTGGTTTTGTGCATATTTTCTTTTTGTTCGCAGTCGAGAAAAGGGAAAATGAACAACTGCAATTAGTTTTGTTGAAGTAATTACTAGCCTTTTAATATGTTAAAATGTTTTAAAGGGTATCCATAAACTATGTTTATTGCCATGTTAAATAATAAACCTTTTAAATTAGATACATTGCAATTTAGATTGAAATCTTAGTTATTAAAGACAGAAAAGTACGCAAATTACTTACTTACTGATTTTGGTGTTAATATACATTATATTAACACCAACAGAACCCATAGAAAACGCGTTGTAATTTTTAGAAAAAAATCATTTTTTTCATGTTTTTCTTAATATTCTCTTAAAGGGTATGGAAATTTGGAAAATTATAAACGGGATTAACCATTCTAGAACAAGCAAAAATTTTTATGAAGAATGCATTTTTCCAAAATGCATACTGTATACTTAACAATAACCGCTTTTGATGAGGCAACTTGGTCACCCTTCCGTAGCATTAAACCAAATAAAGTTTGTGATTCTTTAACATCTTAGAACAAAAAAACATTACGTTAATTACCATTCTATGAATTACAATCTATTAAATAATAAAAATTATATTATCTTAGAAACGCGTTTAAATTTTTAGGACTTCAAAATTCAGCCATATTTTCATGTTTTTCTTAATCTTCTCTACAAATCGTCCTTTGACCATCTTCACAGACAGCCAAGCGGTACTAAAGGCACTCGGCTCCGCGGAGGTAAATTCTAGACTAGTGTGGGACTGTCTGCGTGCTCTGAATACTTTGGGCGAACGTAGCACTATTACGTTGACCTGGGTGCCAGGGCACGTGGATCACAAGGGTAACGAAAAGGCAGATGAAAGAGCCAAGCAAGGCTCATCAATGCCATTCATAGGCCCAGAACCCTTCTGCGGCATTGCAAAGGCGGTTACGAGAATGGCCACGGAACGATGGGTGGCCAACAAATCTCTAGAATGGTGGAGAAACTCACCAGGGCAGAGACAGGCGAAAAGAGTAGTTCATTGTAGAACATTCGCCAAAATTCACGGCAGACTTGATAAGCAAGGACAGAAAGACAGTCAAAGCTGTAGTAGGTCAACTAACAGGGCATTGTAAGCTAAATAGGCATCTAAAGCTGATGGGATTGACAGACGAAGCTATGTGTAGGTTCTGCCAATCTAAAGAAGAAACGTCAGGACACATTTTATGTCGGTGTGACAGCCTGGCAAATGTGCGGTTCCCGGTAATAGGCAATGATAGGCCATTGCCAAGGAGCTACATGGAGGGTTCAGTCTCCAAGTTGCTAAACTTTGTGAAAAGGATAGGACTGGAGAATGTAATCTAAGGATCAGAAGAGGACCACAATAGATCTGAGAAGGTCGCAGTGGATCAGGCCGAAAGCCACCTCTAAGAATCTAATCTAATCTAATCTAATCTAATCTAATCTAATCTTCTCTAAAACGGTATGAAAATTTGGAAAATTATTAACGGGATTAACCAATTTAGAACAAGCAAACCTTTTTATGAAGAATACGTTTTTCTGAAAATGCCAATAATAAAAAGGTTTTTTTTGTGCACAATCGCTTCAAACATTCGTTACAATGGTTGAATTTAGAGTGAATCATAAGTCATTTTTTACTAATAATCTCTATTAGTAAAATTGTTCTACATTAATAACATGTTCTAATTGAAATTATTAATCAATTAGTTAGTAATTTTACTTTTGAGACATGTTGACTATATTAAATTAAGTCATATTCTATAATAGTATCATAATACTTTGTGTTCTGATTCCCATTTTGTTAAAACAATTATTTATTTTCGGTTGCTATTTATTGTATATTAATACGAAACAAAGTATAAAATTTCGACAACTGACACAAAGTAATAATGTATGTTTGATATCTATAGTACCTATTACTTATAAGGTAATTTATTTACAGAAATTACTAAAATATTTTTATCTTTTATTACAGAAATTACAGTTAAAAGTTTACACGCCCTGTATTGTATTTCAGTCAAAATTATTTTTTAAATACCATAAACAATGGCCTTAGATGATTTTCTAAAAAATATATGTACTGTTTATTAAATAATACGAATTATTTCAGCATCTACAAACGTTTTCTTATTATTTCCTCAAGCCATCACATCCACTCCCCTCTACTTTCACTTTCCTCAAATAAAAACAGTTTTGTTAAGTACACAGAATTCTTTATGCAGTTGGGAAAATCAATAACTCCAGACCGCTTAGTTTTAACTGAGACCCCGACAACCAGATGGCGCTTACTGTACATGCTAATCAAGTAAATCTGCAGTTACATCAATACTGAAAA